ATCTCTAGCCAGGTGCTGTGGTCAGCACCTCTAGTTCCAGCTACTCAGGAAGATGAAGCAGCAGGATTACTTCAACCCAAGAGTTTGAGGTTGTGGTAAGCCAGGCTGACACCTACCATTCTAGCCTGGGCAACAGAGTGAGATTCTGTCTCCAAAAACAAAACAAAAGAAACCTCTCAACAAACTAGGAAAAGAAGTTTCTCAATCTTGTAAAGGGCGTCTATGAAAAAATTATAACTGACATTGTACTTAATCATGAAAAGAATGAATGCTTTCCTCCTAAAACTGAGAACAAGACAAGGACACCCGCTCTCACCAGTTGTAGTCAACATTATACTAGAGGTTCTAGCCAGTGCAGTGATGCAAGAAAAAGAAATTAAAGGCACAGAGATTGGAAAGGAATAAACAGAACTATTTCTGTTCTCAGATGATAAGATCTTATGTAGAAAAATCCTAAGGAATATTTTTTAAGAACTATTAAAACTTAAGAGTTTACTGAGTTTGAAAGATCAATATACAAAATTCAACGCATTTCTATGAACTAGCAATGACCCCTTTCATTATAGATTATAAAACAGATCTAGGCATCATTCAAAAAAGAAACCATAACATGAAAGGTTGATAGAAGACTTCACAATACAGGGATTAAGCTGTTACTAACTAAACCCACTGAATGACCAATTTTGACAAACTCAAAAATCAAATCAAGGAAACAATTTCATTTGCAAAATATCAAACATAAATCACCAAAAGTAACCAGAACACCAATTCCTTACTCCAAAAACTCATGATTTAAAAATTACACATTTATCTGGCCTTACCTATATAAATTATCAAATAGCTCTGGCTTGAAAGAAGAGCCCCACTGAACAGAAGAATTTCAACTAACATAAAAGGAATCGAATAGGGCAGCGCCTGTGGCTTAGTGGGTAGGTCACTGGCCCATATACCGAGGGTGGCCCCGGCCAAACTGCAACGAAAACATAGCCGGGCATTGTGGCGGGCACCTGTAATCCCAGCTGCAGGCTGAGGCAAAAGGATCACCTAAGCCCAGGAGATGGAGGTTGCTGTAAGCTGTGATGCCAAAGCACTCTACTACCAAGGGCAATAAAATGAGACTCTGTCCCTTAAAAAAAAAAAAGGAATAGAATAAGAAAAAATACCATTTTATAAACCCAAATAAAATAACAGATTTGGGCATCATACAGGAATGAAACCATATGGTGAAAGGCTGATAGGAACTTCACAATGCAGGGATTAGGCTGTTACCAACTGAACCCACGGATCAATTTTGACAAGCAAGCACTGTGTGCCTCCTAATGAGATACAAAATGAAGCACACAGCCCATTTATGATTTTCCTGCTAAGAACACTGAACCTTTGAAGTTTTTCTTTTTTTTTTTTTCTTTTTTACCAACTGTTGCTATCTCTGAAGATTCTGAAGTTTTTAGAGCTTACTTATAATTAAAGGAAATATACAGGAACAAGTTAAATGAAAAGGAAGCAAATCAACAAATCTAGAACGTGGGACCAAAAATTCTGTAAGACCTGCTTGATTGTTTTGCAACAATTCTATGGAAAAAAGAAAGTGAGCATAGAAAGACTGGATTAAAGATAACTTAATAACCCAGTCCAACAACCCTTGTTGAACCTTGATTAAACAAACCAAATTTAAGGGGAGGCTCCTGTGGCTCAAAGGAGTAGGGCGCTGACCCCATATGCCAGAGGTGGTGGGTTCAAACCCAGCGCCACCCCCACCCCCTAAAAAAGCTAAGTAACAAACCAAATTTAAAAGACTTTTTTTTTGCAGTTTTGGCCAGGGCTGGGTTTGAACCCATCACCCCAGGTATATGGGGTTGGCATCCTACCCCTTGAGCCAAAGGTGCCGCCCAACGACCTTTTTTTTTTGCACTTTATCACCCTTGGTAGAGTGCTGTGGCATCACAGCTCACAGCTACCTCCAACTCCTGGGCTTAGATGATTCTCTTGCCTCAGCCTCCAAGTAGCTGGGACTACAGGTGCCCACAACGCCCAGCTATTTTTTTGTTGCAGTTTGACCAGGGCTGGGTTCGAACCTGCCACCCTCAGTATAT